GTATGTGCCTAGAGAAGGTGGTTTCTCCATTCCCTTCGGCAAACGCATAACCATGACCTCCTGGGACAATGGGCCACGAGGCTCGTCGTCACTGCTGCTGCTGGACCATGACTGTGAGCGGGTGCCCCGTATATAGGTAGGATGGCAATCTTGACGAGAAGATGGGGTTCGTGCTCGGCCCTTTGATTTGGGAGGAGGCGAACGCTAGGGCTCTTCCTGATGATCCATTCTAGTCCTCTTGGGTTGCAGGGAATGCTGGTTTTGGGGAGAGATAAAGTCGCATTTTCTGACGGTCTGGGTCTCTAGCTCTGGAGGTGCCGATGGTTTCTTTTGCACCGGGGAGGAAAACTCTGTGATCTGTGACGTTCTTTCCTCAGCGGAGGGAATCTTGGACGACTGGACTCTTCTAGGGCTCCAATCCTCGCGTTCTAATTGAGGATTGAGAGGTTGTTCTTGTTGAGAACCTCGAGGAGGGCAACCATGGTCGGGTCGGCGCTGGGCAGAACTGGAACTGGTAGGTGCTCCGGGAGGAGCGGGACCTCGTTATGATCTGCACGAACGGGGAAGGGAGAAGCGGTGGCTATGTCCCTTTGTTGGAGGATGTCGCCCCCAAGAGAGATTGTTGCTCTGTTAGTATCATTCTTGCTGACGGGGAGGAAGGCATAGTTGCAAGCATCATGGGTGTTGTCACGGCTGGCCATGATCAGAATTTGGAAGAACTATTTTGGTCTCGAATCTACGATGGGAGAAAAGACGGGGATAACAAGTTTCCCACAGATAGCGCCACTGATCTTGACGGCTGATCAGAACCTGAAGTGGGTGATCCGCGGTCGCTCGCGGATCAAAAACGAGTATTTTTAGGAAAATGCAGTACAACGACAGTGACTCGGAATATCGTCTCACAAGGATTCTTGTAGGAATAATCAAATACAGTAACGAAATATGGGGGTTTTTGATTAAGATAAAATAAACGAAAAATAAGTGATTAGAAAAAGTGATTGTAATGAGTTGAAACGGCTAATCTACTGTTTTCGTTTCCCAACTTATCATCGATCCTAATAATTCTCAATTCCTAAGCGGATTCTATCCCCTTTCCGATTATAATAACAATCAACAAGCGCAATTGATATTATACGATACACGTTCCTAATTTTTGAATTAAGCAAACAGATAAAATAGTAACCGTGAATTAAGCAAACACGAGAAACATACGCGGATTAAGCAACCGCGATTAAAGTATAAGAACATGCAATCATCGAAATAAATCAATCATCCCTAAGATAAATCGAATTAAGCAAACAAAATATCATAGAGAAGAATTGAAAGGAAATAGATTTTATTGGAAATTAAAAGAACCTCAAAGTGTTGACGGGAACCGATTACAGCAGATTAATCCGAAGGAATTAGTTCTCCATAATTCATACAAAGCTCCAATAAATATTTTCGTGAATAGTGAATAGGATCCTGTAAACGAGGTTCCCCCTCAAAATAAAACAATAGATTCAGTTTATAACCCAATTGGGTCAAAAACATAACCCAGGCCTAAAACAAGATCAAAACTAAAACAGAATTCTAATGCTGTAACTTGAAACGAAATTCTGGAATTTTGAGCTCCAAATCTGACTTCGACTCCAACACGAAAGTCGTAGCTCTCTCTCTTAGCTTTCCGGCGATTTTTAGAACGCCTCAAACGGATTCCCGAAACTCCAGTTATGATCGTTTCCGTGCAGACTGCTAAAGCTGAAAAATAGTTGCGATAATTAAATTAAACCAAAAATAAAATAAAATAAGAAAACATAATAAAATATAATAATAAACAAAATAAAATAAAGAAATGCCTAAGTAAAAATGTAGGAGAATGTGCATAAATATGCACTGATCAGTGGGTCAGAGACAATCATCTGTGATGTTGGGTGTGAGAGAGGAGAATGGGGTGTACCTGCAACGCACTCTGATGCTAACGTAAGAATCAGGAGAAAGAAAGCAAGTACATAATATGTTTATATCAAGGTGAATATTGAATACCTGGCCCTTTCAAATGAGAGGGTTTTTATAGTGCTCCTAGCGTTTGACCATTGATCCCTATTTTCGGAGCGAGATAATTGTTTCCCAGATAATAGGTAACTGCCAGAAACTAGCCGTTGGGACAGACAGAGGTGCCCAGAACTAGCCGTTGTTACGGGCAGAGGCGCAAGAACGGGCACAAGCGTCGTGACTGTTTTTGGATGGTGGATTTGTGCGTGACGGGCAAGTACTGACAAGGAGAAGTAACTGGCCCTGGGGTAAACCGGTCAACCTCCCCTGATGGAGGGACTGAAAGGTAAATGCTTCTCCAAATTGGTTGGACTTAGACAATTGAGCTGTTCTGAAAACATAAGTGTATTAGGTAATGTCTAGTCATTAGATAAGTCCGGAATAGCTCTTTTCTTTTTTATAATCAAACAAACTTTATAAATAAATAAAAAAAAAAAGAATACTAGAGATAATCAAATTTCAGTTCTTATTAAAAGTAATTGTTATTGGTAGTAAAATTAACTATTAACTTTATTTCATATTAATGTTAACTAAAATTACTTAAATTAATATTTTAAATTATAATAAAAGTTAAATATAAATAAAATGATGAGATCTGATATAAGTTTATAGCAGTATTACGTGAACTAAAATCAATTGAACCGTTTCAAGGCGTTTAATGGAACTCACAAAATAACTCAAATATAAATTGCATATTAGATGTGCTATTATAAATTTAAAATTTATTGATTTAGTCCCCTAGTAACATTACATGTAGTTCAATAAAATAAACTATGTTGTCTAATAAACCGAATAAAATAAAAAATAGTACTGTAATAAATTATACATAGAGTAAACTCATTTTTGAGAAAGTATAGACCAACAATTGTGATGACTTTTAGTCAATAAAAAATAACAATGACTGGTTTTAGCCAATTAAACCATACACATTATATGAGTTTCAGAAATTTGGACTGTTACTTCGGTAATGTATCTTTTTTTCAAACTTATTAGAGGAAAAAAATGATAATAAATAAGATGAAATAGAGAGCAATACAACGGGTAAAACTCGCAGTTTCGTTTTCTAACCCATGAATAAGTTTGCTTGAAAATCTATATTATTTTTTAATTAACCAATAATAATAAATAAATAAATAAAACTAAACATACGTGTCAATCATTTGGTGGAACTTGATGGCTAATTGTTACTTTCATGACAAGATCCAAATATAATGAAAATTATGAGCTATGTAAAAGATACTAATCATGCACTTTATTTATTTATCTTCATTTCAAAGTTTATTTCTATGGACTGAAAAAAAGGTTATTAAATTTTCCTCTTCACTCCTCACCCAAATGAAAAAGGACAAAATTTGATATTTGAAAGAGAAAGAAGGGAACATGTTTAATTCATCAATCAATTGAATCATTGAGATTCATTAGGTACCACTATTGCTCTAATTAATAATATGATTGTTAGTTAGTACAAAGAGAGATGATTCCAAACATACCCTATCAAGTTATGTGTTCGTATTCTTTTGTCAATATTATTAGCTAAAAGGAAAATCAATATTTTATGATAAGGAATTTCAAATTAATTTTGTTCCGATCAACTCGATTTCAGATGAATTTTGTTTGGTCGATTTCAAGTTTGAGTTTTTGTGTATAAGTGTTATATATAAAGGATATGGTGCCTCTCATTTTAGAATAAGAGACACAATAGAAATTTCGAGATTCTATAGACTACATCAATGTTCTGATTAACCTAAAGAATAAACTTTGAAATTCCATATAATGCACCAATGGTTTGAGTTTCCATATAATGTATCAATGGTCTGATTGATATAATGCACCAATGCTCTCAGATTCCATATAATGCACCAATGCTCTGATTGACTTAAAGTATGTGGACCTAACATATTTGATGTTGCGATTATAAGATAATGTTTGGTTCCATATAATGCACCGCTCTGATTGACTTAAAGTATGTGGACCTAACATATTCGATACTGCGATTATAAGATGATTATAAGATAATGTTTGGTTCTATATAATGCACCAATGCTCTGATTGACTTAAAGTATGTGGACCTAACATATTCGATACTGCGATTATAAAATAATGTCTGTTTTGAGTATGAAAAGATATCTCGTTACATTGAGATTGATTGACTTAAAATATGTGGACTGTATGTGATATTGCGACTATAAGATAATGTCTGTTTTAAATATTAAAAGATATTTCATTAGATTGAGATGCATAACTTAGTAAATAAATCACTCTTACACTAAATTCTAAGACTATTTTAACCTTGCCGAAACAAGTTCTATGATAGATTTTCATTGCAATTAAGGTTTTTTTTAGGTCTTTCTAACTTTGAAACCACAATTACAGCCACATTACATATACTTGCTTCTCCACGATTTCTTGCAATTTAAAACCCAATTTTGTAAAAATTGAAATTCATCATTATTTATTCTAAGGCAAGTCAATATTATGAATTTAAGATTTTGACACAAACAAAGTTGAAGAAAAACTGCATTCTTGTTTGCCAAAGCAAAGGCACAACTGTCTTGGATTTGGACATATATGCCATTTCTCAGACATTTGCTTCCACACCACTTTATACAAACATACACCTCATTTAATTAATTAAAACAAATAGTCATAAATAAAACTTTCTAGTTGTTGCTACACCATTTTCCACCACCAAATTGCACCTTCCAAATCACTCCACAACACACTCATTCTTCCTAAATTTTCACTGCTAAAATCCATAGAAATTAATTTAAAAAACATTAATAAAACTACAAGCAAAAATGTTAAAATTTAATAAATCAAAACAAATCATCTAACATATGGTCTTAAAAATATTAACCATTTTCAGAGTGTGCTAGAAACACACTCAAAATATCATACATTGTTAGACCTATACATCAAACACTAAAAAAAAACTAAAATTAACCTAATCAATGACAAAAAAAATCTCATTCAATTTTTTCATTGTTAATTAAATCAAAAGAAAAACAAGATGGGCACCTAAGAAGCCCATTCTCATTGCAAACAATACAAATCTTAAACCCAGCTTTATCTGTATACACCTTCTTGCTACCGTTACACACGTTGCACAGAACGAACCTGTGACCCGCGCACACGTGGCATTCGGTTGGATCCACTACGGGCAAGTCTTCGAGTAACTTCTTGAGCTCGCCAATCTCGAGCATTGTTCTAATCTCTTCGCCACCACCAACGTATTTTCCGTTGATGAATACACGTGGCAGTTTTAAACCGGTTCGACCCATTAACCGGTTCAGTTCGGTCAAAAAGGAGGAATCCATAGATACGTCACGTTCGTCGAGGTGAACGCGGAAGGAACGAAGGATCGCGAGTGCGCTTTTGCAGTCTTCGAAGATGGGTCGCACCACGCGCAGGCTGGTGAAGTATATGACCACGCGCTCTTCTGTTCCCGGGAAGTAAATCGGTGGAGGGAGTGATGGAGGTGGAGAGAGTAGCGGTGGCGCGTGGGTGGGTTCATTGCGTGATGGCTCTTGTTCTGGTTCTTGATCTGGTTCTGGTTTTGGTTCGGAGTCGGGTTCGGGATGAGAGCGGGTTCTGGGTAATCTGTGGGGTTGTTGTTGGAGGTGATTTGACCAGGCTCGGAGGAGCGAGTTGGCGAGTCGGACTCGTTGGAAAATAGGGTATTTTGGGGTTGGTGCAGGTAAGGATTGTTGAGGAGGTTCGTCGAGGCAAAGGGTTTGAATGTCTTTGAAGGAAGAACAAGAGAATGGTGATGAGGGTAATGATGATGATGATGATGATGAAGAGATGTGAATCCGAGCCGTTGATTTTCCCCACGGTCGCCACATTGAAGGTTGGAGATTGAAAATAATACTATTTTTGATCTTCTTGTGGTTGTGATTAGTGATTCTTCTTCTTTTTTGGGTTCTTGGAGAAATGAGAAATGGGTTCCAAGAAAGGGAGGATTTTGGGTTTATTGGTTGAAGATTGGGGAATTGTGAAATGGGTATGAGGAAAGGATTGATTTTTGGGGTTTTTTTTGGGAGGAAGCAAAATGGGGTTTGTTTTTGTTATTTTGAATCAATGTTAGGGGTGAATGGAGTGAAAGAGAGGATGAGATTTGGTTAGGTTAAAGTTTAGGTTTTGTGAGTGGTGAATGGTGAAAGAGGGAAGAGATGAAAAAGTGGATGGTGGTGAATTTGCATGTGTGCTATGTTTGGGGAAGTCCTTAGCTTTTTTCCTTCTCTTTTAAGCTTTTGGCATGAGAAAAAGAGAGACAAAGAAAGAGGGAGGAAGCTAGAGAGAGATTGTAAATCAGGAAGAGTGAACTTGTTTTAGTATGGTAATGAGAGATACTAGGTGGTTAGGTAGTTGAGAGGTTGGGCTTATTTTTATCTTTTTTGGTTTTTATGAGGTTTAGTAAAGAGGAAGGGAAGGTGAGAGGCCTTTGTAATGCACTAGTAATATGTAGTGATAACTTTATGATGATAACTTATGAATCTTATATATATTTTTAGAAAACTAAATACTATATTAGACTACTTCAAAAAAAAAAAAGTATATATATATATATATATATATATATATATATATATATATATAGTTTTATCATCTCTCATAAAAAATGTTTATTATTAATTATTTAATTAAAATTAGTATATTTTATATCATATAATAAAATTTTAAAAAAGAATTTAAAAAATTTAAAAACGAAATATAGTTTATTATAAAGTCATACATATAAATATAAGAATGATTTTAAGTTAACATTTTATATGCAGTCAACGTAAAAATAAGCAAGTTATAATAGTAATAATAGTACATTAACTATAATTTTACACATGAATTATTTGAGTTTAGTCATTAAAAATCGTTGAAGCCTTAAAAGAGATTTGACTAATATTTGTATTAAATAATTAGTTAAAATTATTTTTTTAAAAGTTTTTTATATAAAAAATAAAATTATTCAAGAAAATACTTTTCTTTTGATTTAACGGCTAGAAATAGAAATAGAAATGACATCAACTTTATCAATCAAATGAATGAAGAGATTAAATATGAGGCACAAGAAATATTCAAGGAATTTATCATATGGTGTCCTCAACATGAGATACCATGTTCCTCATATAGAACTTCTACCATGCTCAGTCCTTTCATAAGGTTAAGGTTATATTCTTATTTGGGTGGTAACTTGTTTATTAAAATTGTTTTGACCTTGTGAAATCTATAACGACTAATAATTATTAATAGAATGATGATAAGAGGTTTCTCTATCATCATTTTTTATTATTTATTATTTTTTTAATATTTAATCGCATTTTAATCGACTTACTTATATTTACTATGTTTTAGGTTTTGGTTGTGTTTTTACTATTTTTAAAATCTAACGAGTATCTAAGACAAAAAAAAAATCAAAAACAAATAAAACAATGTAAAAAAACAAAAGTTAATTTTTTCTCATAGTAAAGACACTTAAGATTTTTCTTGATCCATCTCCGGTACAAAATGCAGAAATATGCTACGGCCAACAAAACAACTAAAAATGGCACAATATATACAAGATGCCCAAAATGAAACAAAGAACTAGATTACTAAAGAATGATCTCAAACTAAAGTCTTTATAGTGAAAATCCATCCAAAAGATAAGACAAGTAAGGACATCAAGCTACCTTTTACTTACCCTTCGTCCAATCGGAAGTAACTGAAAAACAATCAACAACTTACCCTTTGTCGAATCGGAACTACCTAAAAAATAATCAACAATATGGGGTGAGATAATAATACCGGTGGATTCTCTATCTTATGGGTTCTCTCAGCTCTACAAGGTTCTAATCATGTAATATTTCAAGTCCCAAAGGGAAAAAGGGAGGAGATTTGAATTCACAATACTTGAACTATATTGCAACATGTTGCTTGAGTTCAACAATTCAAGCTATCACTAATCGGAAATCATACCTAAACATCTTTCTCCGGCCAACCCTACGTCTAGAGTTATCGACACGGGTCACGGCTCCTTGTATCTACTTTGACAAACGAAATGGATTCAGATTCAAGGTATTTTCCACATGAATCGTCGCTTTCCATATGACCACTCTCATCTCAAGCCTTTTACCCGTAGGCTCCATTCGTACACACACGACTCAAACATGTTAAAGTAATAGTGCGTACATCCCAAAGGAGCTCTACATAAGCATCAACTCTTAGGATTACATATCTCAAGGGTTATTTCCGACTACATGGTCAATAAGGATATCGTGATTGTATTCGACAATTACAAGGCAAACACATCGCCTTAACTTTCACAACAAATGCCACATGTTCCACATAATGCCTCACTTCACCACTAGACAACTACTTGTCAAAGATACTCACCTAGGCATCAATTGCACAAGCATTTTCATCTAAGTTATCTATTAATTCCTAGTCACCTTACTAGTTCATTTCATTAATTTCCATTGAGGTTTCCTCACCATTCTTACTTATTTTTAATCATGTTATCACACATTTTACAAGCAATTAATCACGGATAGAAAGCATACATAAGAACCATCATAACTAATATAAATTGATTCATAGCATGGTTAAACAAACAAGTGAAGCAACCCAACCAATTAACAAAACAAAAATACAAAATTTGTCACCATTGCCTAGCGACAGGAAAACAAGGCTGGTCACTTTCAGTTTACACAACGAACTCAAGGCGAGGAACATGCAGAAGCAAAATGCCACCATGATCTCTTAACGGCCACAATGCGAGGGCTCGCTTTCCGTTCACTGGACCTAGCACAACAACTGTAGCAAAAAACTCAGGTCGCTTTCGGTTTGCGTAAGCTCATTGTGCGAGCGCGTCAATTTTGACAGAAAAACCTGTTGAACCAGACAACAAACAAAAGGATTTTTACCCCAACTCACACATAAGTTCAATCCACACTTAATAATCAACATATAGCAACAATTTCATCTTGAACAACATGAACACAACAAGAATCATGACATTTTCATGACATTGGAAGCAAAACATATCAAAATCTCAATATTCATCAATCTATCTAACAATCCTAACCTAGAGCATCTATCTAGAACCCACCTTAGGATGAAGATGAAGAAGTTGGAAATGATGAAAATGAGGTGATGAATGATGAAGGATTTCACTTTCTTCTTCTTCTTCTTCTTCTAGGTTTTCCTCATTCTTTCGCATTTCTCCTCTTTCTCTCTACTATCTTTCTCTTCTAACTCCCCCACTTTGTTGTAAAGAAGGAAATGAATGGAAAAATAATACATAAAATTATTATTATAAGTTAGTAAGACTAATTGATAGGGGTGGTTGAACGGAGTATTAATTGGTAAAATGTCCAATATTAATGTTATCAAAATATCTCAATTGTACCAATTAATAAAAGGTCCGAATCGAATAATATTAATTAAATCAATCTGAGTTCACTAGTTACTCTAATTATCCTAACTAATAACTCTTACAACACATAGGAACTCATCTGATCTCAACTAATATCATTTAGAGTACTTTAGAGAATACGTGGTATTACATCCTCCCCTCCTCCCCCCCTTAAATAAAAATTTGTCCTCGAATTTAAGGATTACCTAAAAAGGGTGATGGTAAGCTTCTCGCATCTCCGACTCAAGTTCCCAAGTAGCACCATTTAGATTTGTCTTGTCCAATTGAACCTTAACAAGAGAAATTTCCTTATTCCTCAACACTTTAGTTTCTTTTCCCCCAATACGACTTGGTTGAGGTTCAAAAGTCAAATCTGCTTCTATCTCCACTGAATCTGGAAGAATTAGCTGAAGAGGATTAGGAATGAACTTTTGGAGTTGAGACATATGAAAAACATCATGCATCTCGGATAGAGAAGGCAGTAAGGCTAATCGGTAGGCAACTCCACCAATCCTTTCTAAAATCTGATATGGTCCCACATATCTCGAACTTAACTTCCACAATTTAAATGGTCCTTTCAACCTCAATCTTGAAGCAACCTTCAAAAATACATGATCGCCTTCTTTAAATTCTAAAGGCCTCCTTCGATTATCCGCATACCTCTTTTGACAGTCTTGTGCCTTCTTTACCTTATCACATATCATTGTTATCTTTTTCGTAGTTTCTTGCATAATTTCTAGTCCTAGAATCCGTTCTTCACCAACTTCTGTCCAACACAAAGGTGTTCTACATTTTCTCCCATACAAAGCTTTGTAAGGATCCATTCTGATACTTGCATGGTAACTATTGTTACATATAAATTCAATTAATGGCAAGAGCTATTTCCAATTTCCTCCACTTTCGAGCACACAAGCTCTCAACATATCTTCCAATGTTCGCATCGTCCTTTTCATCTAACCGTTCGTCTGAGGATGATTTGACGTACTTAAGCACAACTTAAATCCCATGTAAACTATGGATCTCTATCGGACACAATACTAGAGGGGACACCATATAGTCTCACAATTTTCTCAACAAACAACCGTGCAAAATGACTTGCATTATAAGTGGTCTTCACTGCTAGGGAATGTGCGGACTTTGTCAACTGCTCCGTAATCACCCATATAGAATCATAACCATCTTGCGTACGAGGTAATCCAACTGCGAAATCCATTGAAATGCGATTCCACTTCCATACCGGAATCTTTAACGGTTGCAACAAACCACCCGGTCTCTGGTGCTCAATCTTCACCTGTTGGCACACCACACACTCGGATACATACTCCGCAATATCCCTTTTCATACCAGTCCACCAATAGTGCCTCTTCAAGTCTTGATACATCTTTGAGGAACCGGGATGTACGGTAAAAGCACCTTTATGAGCTTCTTCCAAAATCTTCCTTTTTAACTCTACAT